GCCTACTGGCAGTCTATAGAATTTCAGCTCTGCTCCTTATGGGAAAGTATGTGCAGCATACCCCCCCTTTCCCTCCCCAAATCTTCAGTTCCTCCCATGTAAAAAAGGATAATAATATTTGTCCTCAGTGGTGTGTTGTGGGAAAAGCATATTGTGAACTATGCAAATGAAAGTAGTATGCTGCCACCATTATTTAGTCTAAATCTTTAAATTTATAGAAGAAATTAAGGCCCCAAGTCACACATCAGGCTAGTGTTAGGGCCAACACCAGAATTTAGCTTCTACTGCCATGCTACCACTGTATTTGTGATTCTTTTCCATGAGGATCATCTACAAAATCAATGATATCAAATTAGCTTCATGACACTTTTCTCTTAATTTCAAACTAAATATATCACTTTGTTCATTTTATAGCAGAGAAAACAGGAAGGCATAAAACTTCAATGTTACAAAACCAGATAAAGAACAAAGATTAATTTTACTTGTCTATCTACCAGCTGATAAGGTGGCATGCCTATGTACAGATGTTACATTTTGAGACTAATGATCAAACTCAATCACTCTAAACTGGCCACCAAACTCCCCTACCCAGGACGCTATTGTTATACAATCAAGGAGACAGGCCAGTTGAGTTTAAGAGAAGGAAAGCAGTACATAGTGTCAATAGCCCTAATGAGGTCATTAGCCCCTCCACCCTCCCCAAGCTGCCCATACCTGCCTGAAAGTAGAGAGTACATAAACTTCTGGGATGGCAATATTCCTAATATGACACCTATAAGGTTGCTGAAGAGACAACTGTCTTAAGACAGAAATCAAGAGAGCCAAGGAAAACAATTCCCTCCTTATGTTTTACATGTCTTGTACATTAACTCACCTGCCAACAACTTACGGTCAATAAATGACACAGATGATTACTATTTCACAAAATCTGACAGCATCTGAACCCTTTTCTAATCTCTTTAGCAAGTCTGGGTGAGAGGCTGTGGGGACCCTGACAATTGACAACATCTACTACAAGTGTCTCTTACAGAAGGCAGCAGCACTCTGAGAACGCTCAGCAAGGAGAAAATAAATGCCTGGAAAGGTCACAGAACTGGAAACACGGAGGAAGGGAAACAGAGAGAAGGAAAATAAAAAGGAAGGAAGATTAAAATAAAAGGTAGGTAAAGTGTCAATATAGTGGGGTAAAAGTAAGGCAATGAAAGCACAGAGGAGAAAAAAAAGAGAGATCATCTAGAGGTTAGCTTGAAAAACACCATCCATGCTGGGTGGCTACGGAATACATAGGTACTTCAGTGAGGTTTGCAGGGATGGCTGGGTCCACAGGCAGATTCTCCAAAAATGGGTGTCTTCTTATTCCAGGACAGTGTTTTCATACATGAAAAGATACGTAATGCTGTGGCAGGTCACACATGCATCTCTACCTATATTGTTTGCAGCCTAAGGGCTGAAAGGCCAAGGACTCTTCACAGACATCTGCCTGCCCTACTACCCCACACTTCCCTCTAGATGAATGCTAGATTGAAGACAGCTTTGTCTGACATTCAAGGTCTTCCAATCTGAAACTACGGCTAGGACAGGTATTCATTATTGCAATTGCAGTATCTAGTTGGGGCAGAGAGTACAACGATGGCCTCAAATCAGGAAGACTTCCCAAAACTCCTAGCAGTATGACCTTGGCAAGTCTTTCAGGGCTTCTTAAACTTTTTCCACTCTCGACCCTTGTGGTACTTCTTAAAGTGACTCCATATGGGGTCGTGACCCATAGTTTAAGAATTTAACCTATGCCTGCCTCTGTTTCCTCAACTGTAAAATGGGGATAATAATGGCACTTTCCTCCCTGGCTGGTTGTGAGGATCAAATGAGATGAGATCTGTAAAGTGCTTAGCCCAATGCCTGGTACATAGTAGGTCCTTAATAAAGACTTATTCCCTTCCTTTCCCCCCTTTCTAGCTTTTTCTCTTCTTCCTCTCTCTTCCACAGACAAACTGAACCCCACCCCCCAACATGAGCTCTCCCACCTCTGTATCCTTACTCATGTTGTTCCCTGTGACTGGAACACTTTTCCCTCCCAACTTTCAAAATTTTCTCAACCTAAAAGTCCACTCTGCTCCCATGTCCTCTTCCTCTGATCGGTTCCTACCAGAACCTCCTTTTAAAGCTAAGTGTCATGAAAGTGCCCAGGCCAGTCAGGTCTTCTTTCTTCATCTCTCCCTGGCCTCCAATCCTGACTCCCCTCCATCATGTCATCTTCCCTTCCCCCACCAAACCCCTGAATCTTTAGCTAGCTTTTCTGCTTCCTTTTCTGTCTTATTTATTAAGAATTTAAGCTCCTCTGTCTTTCTGTTCAGACTTTTTTTTTTAAAGGCAATGGGGTTAAGTGACTTGCTCAAGGTCACACAGGTAGTATGTGTCAAGTGTCTGAGGCCGAATTTGAACTCAGGCCCTCTTGACTTCAGGGCTAGCCCCTCTGTATTCCTAGCCCTTAACACAGTTCCCGGCACAAAATAAGTGCTTAAAAAGTGTATAATGACTGCCTGCCTGAAACCAAATGCCACTTAGGCTCCGTATTCCTAGCCCTTAACACAGTTCCTGGCACAAAATAAGTGCTTAAAAAGTGTATAATGACTGCCTGCCTGAAACCAAATGCCACTTAGGCCAATCATGACTACCCACAGCAACTGCCATAGCACTTACTTTGCACCTCTTGTGAACTTACCATGTTTGTGCCTTATCACCCACTAAACCACAATCCTATCAGATAAGAACTTTCTGTCTCCCTCCAGCACCAAGCACAACAAGCAAGACAATGTACACAGCAGGCATTTAATACATACTGAATGAATTAATACCAGACGGCAAAATGTCTTAAGATCCTCCCTGCTAGGAGATCTATATTTGTCAAAAGATGGTAATAGAGCACCTACTAGCAACACGCTACCAAATCAACATTCTTATAATGACATTTAGGATATTACTGTCATGCAACAACATTACCAAGCTGTGGTAGAACACCTGCCTCATTTTCCTTCTTCCTTTGTCCCCAACCCCGTAATAAATGTTCACACACGCGCACACACACACACGCACACATGCGCACACACACACACACACACACACACACACACCCTTCCCTTCCCAAGAACAACAAGTCCTAGAGTGATAGTAACTACTTCTACTTCTGACACAGTCACCTATAAAACCTATGAATTACTTTTTCTTTACAAGATGCTGACTGGAGGGGGTAGTAACAATAAAAATGACAGCGTTCCACAGCAATTTACAGAATGACAAAATGCTTCAAACACATTGTCTAAATTGATTCTCTCAACTGCCTTGTAAGTAGGTAATGCAAATGTTATTCCCATTAATAAACTGGGGAATTTTAAAACCAGGAGAAGTGGGGGCAGCTAGGTAGCACAGTAGATACAGCACCAGCCCTGGAGTCAGGAGGATCTGAGTTCAAATCCTGCCTCAGGCACATGACACTCACTAGCTGTGTGACTCTGGGCAAAAGTCATTTAACCCCAAATGCCTCACAAAAAAAAAAAAACCTGGGAGAAATAAAGGGGCTTGCTCAGGATCATGGAGGTGGCAGCACTGGGATCTGATGCTCTTTCCACTCCCCATAAGTGCCTCTGATAGAGTGGAAGGGGAACTCTGTAATTAAGCTATCTGCCTGGCTATGTTTGTCTTATGAGCATCACTGCTACAGAACACACTGGCTTTAGATGACACCAATGGACATGGGTTCAAGTCCATGCTTTGCCACTTACTACCTGCACTAACTTAAAGTCACATAAACTCTATGGGCCTCATATTTTGCATCTATAAAATAAAGGGACTGGACAAAATCTCTCTAAGACCTATTTCCAAATCATATGTTCCCATGAACCATATGGCAAAAATGTATTAAAGACTTAAACTTTTTACTTCCTTTTCCCTCCAAGTAGTAGTAACAAGAAAAAAACCTTGGAAGCTGCCCATAGAAAGGCAACAAAATGAAAAGCCATGCATCAGAAAACAAAATATATAAAGCCTAGTGAAAGTACATCTGCACATCTGAACTGCAAATGGAGCTAGATGTTGAGAATGTATTCCTCCAAATGGAAAAACTGAGAAATCTTATACTAGAAATTTCTCAGACTTCATGGACAATGTTCCCCACACACCAAGGAGGAGAAAATAGCTTTTAAAACACAAAGCCACCCTCAGGCCATCATCAAGAGCACATCAGCCTGGAACTGTGGATAAGATGAGTTTACGGACCAAGGTTAAAACATCAGCTCTTAACACAGTGGCAAAAACTTGTCAGAAAAAGGAAAAGTCAAGGAGGTGAGGTAAGGGAAAATAAGGAGGCGAGGTCAGGAAAAATTTAGAAGTACAAGGTTATGTAGTAGTGAATACATACTCTCAATAACCACTGAAGACAGCACTGTCTTATAACACAGTATAATTTAATTTCATAATGAATTATGCTCAGTATATTTTATTCAATGACAGAAAAATATATAAACCATCTTATAAAGATTTCTACTGACAAATGTGAAATAAAAAAAGCTGGATAAGGGGTAACTTTCCTTTAGCTCTCTTCTAAAAAGCACCTGATTTCTTGATATTGCTGGATAAAGATGGCATTATTGCACTATACATATGCGCGCACGAACGCGCGCACACACACACACACACACACACACACACACACACACACACACACACACACACACACCCGTGGGACTCTTCCATCAGAAACCAGCAAAGCTTTACCTGATCCAAGTCCCTGCAAGAGAAGGCCCTGGAGGGTAGCAGGGCAAGCAGCCATTTCCCATCTCCTCTTTCCTCCATCCAAGGGATTACATTGTTAGCACTCCTCCCCTACCGTGGCTGATAATCATTCGATTAGACAAGAACATATAACTCAACTTTACTCTCCTTATTTACCAATGGCAGGATTCCTCCCGAAGTTGGATCTGGACCAACGAAAGATGCAATTCACTCACCAAGATTTGGGCTCCCCAAAGTGCAGGTAATTGATACTGTAGAGATCCATGTCTTCTGTGTGCCAAGCAAAGGTAGTTTTCCACATCCCAAAGTACAGATAGGGAGTGTTGACGCCTTCTATGATAATCCCACATTCATGTTCCACCATGTCCAAAAGGGTGTTCAAATTCCCAATATTCCACTCCTCTACATCCTAAAGAAAGGGCAGACCATCAAAATCATTCCCTTTGATTTTTGATTGCACTCAGTTAAGAAATCCTGTTGATTCTACCTTTGCGACATCTACTGTTCATTCCCTCAGATGTTAGGTGGCCTGCATCTCACTTATTTAGGATTAAACTTATGAATTAAACAGTGCTAAGTGTACAATGACGACACCCTAAATTATGGAAAAGGCAACTGAAGGAAGTAGTCAATCTAACGCAGAAGCCTATCAATTACAGGCCTACATACATCTCATACAGCCTAGCATCACATGCAGTCATGTTCAATTCATATGTTTCATCATTTGTAGATCATTTCCAACTATTTCACTGCCAACTATATGGCTCTCCCCATGCTACAGAGATTCCACCAGATAGGGTCAACATTCAACAAGCATTTTTGAAGCACCTATTACATGCAGAGCAATATGCTAGGCCCTGGGGATAAAAAAGACAAAAATGAGCAGCAAAATCTGCCAGTACGGAACTTTTATTCTAATGGAAAGGGCATATATGGGCATATTTCTGTCAGCTCCCTCCACAGGAAACCCTGTGACTTAGTACATAAATCTTAGAAATTGCCTGAGGTAGAGAATTTAGTGATTTGCCTCGTTCATGAAGCTATTGCCAGAGGCAAAATGAAACCCAGGTCTTGCTGCCTTCTGGACTCTCCACCATGCCACAGCAGCCTCACCACCCTGGAGGTACAACAGACTCCTGCAGCCCCTTCCCCAGATGCCAGCCACACTTTCATTCCTTCTCGGGGCTGCCCTGCAGATACCTTTTCCCATGATCTCTCTCAAACTCTTTTTCCTCTTCCCTAGATGTATTCTCTTCTCCCACTAAAATTCAAGTTCCCTAACAGCAGGGAATGCCTTTCTTTCAGTCTGTATCTATATTCCACAGCTTAGTAAAACGCAGGGCTGGTGCATAGAAAGTGCTTCCTAAATCCTTGCTGACTTGTCTTGACACCAAGCACAGCCCTCTATCATCACACAACCTCCATGTAACATACACATAAGCAAATACAAGAGAATAGGAGGAAAGAGGGGGAGGAGAAACGAGACTCTACAAGAGATGGCAACAGAACTATGAATCACTTAGCTATTCTCAGCAATACAATGATCCAAGACAATCCCAAAAGACTAATGATGAAAGATGCTGCCTCCAGAGAAAGAACTGATATTGTCTGAATATAGACTGCTATCTTTCACTTTCTTTCATTTTTCTTTTGTTGTAATCTTCTTATACAAAATGACTAATATGGAAATCTTTTACATAACTGCACATGTATAACCTGTATCTAACTGCTTACCACCTCAGGGAGGGGAGAGGGAAGGATAGAATTTGGAACTCAAAACTTTAAATAACAATGTTAAAAAAAAAAGAAGAAGAAGAAGAAGAATGGATTAGTGCAGGGAAACCAATTGAGAAGTTACTGAAATACTCTAGGCCAGGGGTGGGGATCCTGTGGCCTTTTAGGTCCTTGGGTGCAGCCTTTTGACCAAGTCCAAGTTTTACAGAACAAATTCTTTTATTAAGGGGATTTGTTCTGTGAAGTTTTGATTCAATCAAAAGGCTGCACTTGAGGACCTAGAGGGACACATATGGCCTTGAAGCAGCAGGTTCCCCACCCCTGCAGTCTAGGCAAAAGGTGATGAGGGCCTGAACCAGGGTGACTGATGATCATGAGTGGAGAAAAGACAAATGGAGGAGATGTCATGGAAACAGAACTGATAAGAAGGTCCAAAAGCAAGAACTTCCAAGGATGATACTGAGGGTCATGGCTAACGTGGCTAACTGAAAAGATGATACAGTCCGCAGACATAGGGAATGCTGAAGGAGGTAAGGGGTTCTGTTTTGGACATATTGACCTTGACGGACTATTAAGACATCTAGACAGAAATGTCAATAACTCAACATTTATTAAGTGCATTCTATGTACAAGGCACTGTGGTAGACATCAGGAATAAGTACAAAGAATGAAACAATCTTTACTTACAATGACCTGCGGGTTCTCTCCACCTCCCTCTCCTTTGCACTATTCTCTTTTGGAGAATCCCAGCACCAGAGATATAGAGCTAGAAGAAACCTCAGAGGTCACTGAGTCGTTACCACCAGCCTAGTAAAGATGCTGATGACTGCCCAGCTAGACAATGGCAATAACCTTAACAAGTCTTCTCGCTTCAACCACTGACCCCTCACAATCTCCCTTCTATGCCTCCACCAACACCATCTTCTGCAAAACTCTTGTAGAATGTCTTGGCTCAAAAAAATTTAGTGGTTCACCATTACCTACAGAGGTCATGTTCAAGGTCCTCTGCCTCCCATTCAAAACATTCCACAAGACCCTCCTCTCAGCTCTTTCCAACCTTATCTCCTATTACTCTACTTCCTGTGCTCCATGCTCCAAAAGGGACAAACTTCTGTCCCTCAAACATCCCCTCAATCTTCCATACTTTTCCTCCCTTTGCTCACGCTGTCCCTATGCCTGGAATAACTTCCTATCTACCTTTTAAAGCAGAAGTTCATTACCTTCTTTATGCCATGGTGTCCTCTGGAAGACTAGCAAAACCTGGGCCACCTCACACCACCCCCCATGATTTTTTTTTAAATATATAAAATAAAATACACAGGATATCCTGAAATACAGTTATTAAAATACTTAAAAAAAAAACAAAGTCACTGTACTAACAGGTTATGAACCCCTGTGTGAAAGCTCACCTTGAATGCCACCATATCCCAGAGGATCTCTCTGGGGAATCAAGATCTCCCCTTTGATCTCATCTGATAATCAACTTGTCTGTACTTCTGTAATAAACTTATGCCAAACTATGGATCAGAATCTGATATCCTTCTCTAAACATGTTTAAATACACAGAACCTCTTCCTTTTCACAGCTCAATATAAACAGCAACTCATACCCCAAGGATTTACTTTGTACATTTATTGGTTGCATATAAGAGCACTCTAATTGCTTAATAATGTAATCAATACTAACTGTCAGAATAGAAGTAGAAGAATGGCTTCAGAATGGTTGGAAATCCAACACAAACAAAAAGACCTACTTCAGTCCTAGGATGTGTACGCCTCCACAGATAAAGAAAGCATACAGAAGCCACAGAGGCAGAGGGTCTCATACTTACTGCAGCCCAGAGCCCAGCATATTCTCTATACACAATGCCCCATGGACCACAAACACCTACGTTCATTTTTGCCTTCTAAAAAGCACTGTGAGCTTCAAGACAGGCACCGTGTCTAACTTTGTATATATGCTATGCACATAGCAGACATTTCTGAAATTAAATATTAGTTGAACTGAAAAGTAAACTGAATTAGCAAAAAGTATATTCATTCCTTGAAAAAAAAAATTTACTTTAAATGTGAAGTGAAATTTTTTATCTCAAATGCTGATAACCAAGTCACCAAAAGTTCATTTTCTTCTGTGCTACTGGCAGATACATGTATATCTGGCTGGTTTAGGTAGGCCCTTTTCCAAAAAAGACCTGGGAAAAGCATGAGGTTTCCAAACCCCAACCCCATAGCCCCCAACTTCTGCCAAGTATCAGTGCGAAGAAAATGCTTGGCAAACAAGCACATAACACATGAATTATTACTTTTATTATTGAGAAATAGTGATATAGTGTTCACAGCAAGCCTGAACTTTGGGCTTCTGAGAAAACAGCTACAAACTTTTATCACCTAAGAGAGATCAGCTATTTTCATGTCTTCTTTTTCTGAAGGAATTAAGAACCAGAGAACCAAACCAGGGGACAGAGCTGAGCTAAAAGAACCCAAGTCTAGAATAAGTCCCTTGGTACACTGGTAACTGCTGTCTTGGCTTTTCCCCCCTCTCCTAGCAGGTCTCTCATCTGTAAAAAGTGATGATTAGATTGGCGCTCTCCATCTCACAGGATCAAATGAGATCTTGTGAAATACTCTGTGAACCATAACTATACAAATTCAATCTGTTATTATTATAACTATGTCCTCTACATCGCAGACAGGTGGCACAGTGGATAGAATGCCAGCCTCGAGTCAGGAAGACTCGTCTTTCCGAGTTCAAATCTGGCCTCAGACACTTACTAGCTGGGTGACCCTGGGCAAGTCACTTGACCCTGTTTGCCTCAGTTTCCTCATCTGTCAAATGAGCTGGAGCAGGAAGTGGCAAAGATACTCCAGTATCTTTGTCAAGAAAACTCCACCTGGGGTCACAATGAGTCAGACACAACTGAAACAACTCAACAACAACAAATATTCTCCACGCCGCCAACTCAAACATTTTAAAAATGGTTTTTAATCGTGGGTTTGAATACTTCTCCAATAAAGTAAACTGCCTGCTTGCAAAGCAAAGCAAAATGTAGCTGAAAAGCTGGAGAAAAGGAAAATGACAAATGCTGAAGGGGATGTGAAAAAATAGGGACACTAATGCACCGCTGGAGCTGGTTCAACTATTCTGGAGATCAATTCGGAACTATGCCCAAAGGGTATAGCCTTTGACCCAGAGATATCACTACTAGATCTATATCCCAAAGAGAGCAAAGAAAAGGGAAAAGGACCTATATATACAAAGATATTTATAGCAACTCTTTCTGTGGTGGCAAAGAATTGGAAACTGAGGGAATGACCATCAACTGGGAAATGGCTGAACAAGTTGTGGCTGAACAAGTATATGATTGTGATGGAAACTATCGTGCTGTAAGAAACGACGAAGCGGATAGTTTCAGAAAAACCTGGAAAAACTTATATAAACTGATACATAGCGAAGTGAGGAAAACCAGAAGAACACTGCACACAGTAACAACAACACAGTAACAGTGATCAGCTGTGACTTAGCTATTCTGATCAAGACATGATCCAAGACAACTCCAAAGAACTCATGATGAAAAATGCTATCTACCTCCAGACAACTAATAAAATCTTGAATGTATATTGAAACACACTTTTTTCACTTTATTTTTGTCTTTTTTTTTTTTTGCAACATGGCTAATATGGAAATATGTTTCAAATTCTTTCACATGTATAATTGATATATTACTTGCCTTCTCAATGTGTGGGGGGAAGGGTTGGAGGAGAGAATTTGGAACTCAAAAAAATTTTAAATGAATATTAAAAATGTGTAATTTTTTTTTCCTGTTTTTTTCCCCCCGAGGCAACTGGGGTTAAGTGACTTGTCCAGGGTCACACAGCTAGGAAGTGTCAAGTGTTTGGTCTGAGGCCGCATTTGAACTCAGGTCCTCCTGACTTCATAGCCAGTGCTCTATCCACTGCCCCACCTAGCTATCCCCGTAATAATTTTTTTTAAAAGAGGAGGCTGACTCAAAGGCATAGATCCCCACTGCTTTAGCTCTCTCAAACTTTTATTACGTGCACTTTTTTAGTCAGCTACGTTAGGTATAGGTGCGCAAACCAGCAGGGGCACAGAAAATTGTTTCCTCTCTATTCTTACAGCAACCACGCTGTTAGAAGACCACATGTATACAGTACTGGAGTAGCCAGTTCTACCTCCCCTCTCCTGCAATCGATCACTGTTACTGAAAGAATATATCTATGTTACCACTGCTTAAAAATCTCCAATGACTCCCTATTACCTTCAGAATACAGTTAAATAGTCCTACCTAGCATTCAAAGGGCACCACAACCTGCAATACTCAAATGTTCCAGCCTCACTTCACACCACCTGCCCTCACCATTCGATAATGTAGTCACACTGAACAATTCCATGCTCTTTCCTCCTCCATGCCTTTGATCAGTGTTCTCTGTGCCTGAGATGCCTTCTTTCTTTCTTTTTGTCTACTAAATTCCCACCCTTAACAAGCAACTAAAATATCACCTCCTTAAAGAAGCCTTTCTTTATTCCCATGTGCCCCTTTAGTCTTTTAAGTCTCACTCAGCACTGTTAATACCTCCTTAGTGCATTCACTGTGTAAAGTTCTATATTATAGCTCTATGTTGGCATCTTAGCCCTTTAATTGTGTCTTATATTAACTTAAATCTGTCTCCTGGAAGCAGCAGAATGTTCTCCACGTAGTATGTATTTAATAGACATTTGCATTTTTCCCCCCATTTCTGCACTGCACTTCTCTGGAGCTCATCATGCCCTAGAACATTCTGCAAGACTGTATCAGTGCTAAGACTGCACTTCATCAACACTCTCTTCCCCTGGAATGAAGAGGGTGAACAGATGGAGAGCTCTCCCAGAACCATCACTGAAGGATAGCACCCAGGCTATTTCCCATTTGGCTATATTCCATTACACTTCTCCATCAACCTGTCATCCCTGCCACGTGGTACCTCGCCCTTCTAATCCCTTCAGTTTCCTTTTATATGCTGTCTCCCAAGTTAGACTGTAAGCTCTTTGAGGGCAGAGTTTGTCTTTTCATATGTCATCCCCAGCACTTAGCACAGCGCCTGGCACATAGTATATGATTAATAAATGTTTACTAAGTGACCAAATATAATTCCAGAGGACAACAAGGAGGCACAATGCCTCACCTACTGACAGAGAGGTGACTGAATGAAGAATAAATGTTTGTTAACTGGGGAATTTTTTAAGTGGGTAAAGGCAATGGAGAGATCATAGAAATCAGCCTTCTCTCTCTCAAGGAAGGGAAGGAGGGATAGGAGGGACCTATACCAGCTACTAAGTGATATAATGTGGACATAAGCCAATAATTTCTAACTGACCTATCTTATGACAAAGTATATCTGTTCAGTGGCTCAGACACTGGGAATGATTTATGTAACATACTTACTGCATCATATAAAGAACCACTAATATCAGCTCCATAAATCGGTGACACAAAAGTCAGGTTCTTCCAGTATTTACGCTCCAGATCTTCAAAGTCTTGGTGTCGAGGAGTACAATACCTAATGAAATAGAACCAATAAGAGAGTCATCAAGCCTCAAAGCTGTCTCTGTCTTCAATACCATCCATCTGTGACTTCATTCCCACATATGCTGCTGAAAGTAACCCTTAAGGAATCCATAAGCTGAATTTGCAAATTGCTGCTCCAAAAGGCCTCGATTCTCCCTGACAAAGCTATCATCATGTCCTATCAGAGGATTCTCATGTTTGCTAGTAGACAGATGGGCAAGACCAGACTGATGCCAACACAGTCGCAGGCAGGACATGCCATTGGGACTTATACCACAGAGGCTTTGCGGTAAAGAAGCAAAAACTCTGAGATTTGACTTAGAGATCCTGAGTTCATATTCTGACCCTGCTGCTGTTTAGTACCAGTGTGACCCTGACAAGTCATGTGGTCTCTTAGGGACTCTGTTTGCTCATCTGTACAGTGAGGGATTGAACAAGATGACTTCAAAGAGCTTCTTCCAGTGCTAAATTCTATGGTCCTATGACCTATGCAAAGCTCCCAAACAGTACCAGAATCCCTTTCACAACACCACCGACAAGTGATCATTAAGCTTCTCCTTGAACATTTCCAGTGATGGAGAGCTCATTTTTCGAAGAAATTCATTCTAAGTAAACTTTGTTGGATAGTTGTTAGAAATTCCACCTACCCTCCACCCTTTGTAGCTATACTACATCTGCTCTTTCTACAGGATACACCTTCAAATATCTGAATGCAGAATAATTTTGTTCAATCCCATCATGATGAAGACCAAAGCAATGATACATTCTGAGCCTTGGTCAGAGAAATGAAACACAGTGTATGAATTCAATGTCTTCTCTTTTTCTATGATTTAATCATAGCCACCAAGTCCTAAAAGTGCCTCATCATATTGGAAATGTTCTCTCCTTTCCCAAAGACTATGCCAACAGAGCACAAGTTCTATTAGAAAATGGGCTTTTTTTTTTCCTCCATCACCCAAAGACCAGCCTGGATAAATAGAAAATTAACTGGGAAGATAAGGAATTCCCCACAACTCTCCTCTCTCTCACCCTATCCCCCACCATTTCATAAACAACATCAGCTAAAAAGGACCCACACTGATGAAATCATAAATCTTTGGAAGAAGGAGTACTATTGAGTCAGGCTTGCCAAAAGTACTCTCAGAAAGGGAAGAAAACTATCATCACCATTAAATCTGAGAGTTGGAAAAGACCTCCCACCTCAAGAAGATTCTGTTTCACAGCATTCTGACAAACTGTCACTCAGCCTCTGGATATTTCTAGAGCGTGCTGAGTCATAAAGACAAATAATAGCAAAAATTATTTACATAAACTACCCAATTGTTAAGGGCACACAACACACTATCTCTTGGGAATAATGGTCCTGACATGGTGTCACTCTGTGATAAGGAGGAGGAAAAGGAGGATAACAACATCATTTATATAATTCCCTACCCATACTGAGGTCCAGCTGGAATAAGTAACTTTCCTAAAGCCACACAGGAAGTAAGCATCAGAAGGGGGATTTGAACTCATCCCACCCAGCCCTAAAATTTGGGGGTTCACGTTCAGTTAACGAAGACAAAACAATCATATTTGGCTATAGAGGACTAACACTGTTTCCCTGCAACCCAATGAAAAGGGAAATCCTCACAATAAATCTCTGGGCTGGTTAACATACTTTTCACTGTTGGCCAAGCGTCGATAATCTCCCACTGTCATGGGTTTCTTCTGTATGTTATACTGGGTAAATAAACCAGACTGTCCTGTCACCACCTGCTGAATGGGAGCCGGAATCACCATGTCATCAATGTCATCATAAGTTTTCCGAGGTTTCCACTCCTTTGGTGGGATCACCTGAAAGAGGCAAAAGAAAAGTCAAAACAAATCCAAATGAAAGGTGTAGAAATGATGTTACCTTAAACAGAAGAATTATCACTTTCTTCATATCTGAAAATTAACTTAAAAACATTTAGTAAGTGCATACTATGCACTAGGCATTGTGTTAAGTGCTAGGGATACAGAAAAGAGGCAAAAGACAGTCATTGTTCTTAAGGAGTTCACAGTCTAATGGGAGAGATAATGCACAAATAATTACATACAAACAAGTTATATACAGAATACATTTGCTACTTGTCCTTCGTTTTGAAGGTGGTGTCTTGAATTGAATTTAAGTGAGTCAGAGTTGCACCAAAGTTGTGCAAAGTCATCAGCCTCACTCTCTCTTCCAGAGCCCATTGGCAGGACAAAAGTCAAGACAACTGGTGATGGCCTGGGATGCAGTGGATGACCTTGATTTCTGATCAGGTTCTAAGCGTTCCACAGATCTTGCTTCAGGCACCTTCATGGCCACTGGAACAAACTGTTCTCATCCACCCACTCTACTGGGGGAAGTCTTCACATGCTCGGGGTAGACATCCCCCTAACTCACTGATGAGCCCGTAGGTTACCTTCAATTGGTTTAGCCTGTCTTGCTGAAACAATTTTACTAGGGCGGCGCCGCTTTGCACATGCTACAGCTTCTTGGAGCCACGGGTGAAATCTGAATGAAAGGTGGACATCAAAAGTGGATGAGCAGCCCTGAAAAGGGGTCTCAGCAAGAGAATAGGAAATAATTAACAGAGGAGTTAGGAAAGGTTTCCTGTAAAAAATGAGATTTTAATTGGGCCTTGAAGGAAGTCAGGGAAGCCAGGAAACAGAGATGAGGAGAAAGAGCATCCCAGACATGAGAGACAGGCAGAAAAAATGTTCTGAGTCAGGAGAGAGTGTCTTGTTCATGGAAGAGCCAGGAAGCCAGCGTCAGTGGATCAAAGAGTACACGTAAGGCTTAAGAAGACTGGAAAAGTAAGAGAGGGCTAAGTTAGGAAAGGCTTTGAACGTCAAACATTTAGTATCGAAAACAAAGCTAAGGAAAAAAAAGTCAATGTATCCCATGTTAAATAATAGTTTATTCCAGCTTCAGAAACTAGAGGAAAAAGCAAAACTGCTCACCAGAGAACCAGAAAAATACCTGCCAATGACAACAGATTTACTTAAAAGTACTCTAAATTAAATTTATTGCAAAACAATCATTTGTCACACACATAATATATGCAGGCCCTTTTTGTCAGATGCCAAGGGGAAAAGTAAAGATGAATAAGATATTATCCTTGTCCTTAAGAAGCTTATGATGTAGCAAATGGTAAAATATTATAGATGTGTAAGTATTACCATCATCAAAAACAACTGCTTGAAATCACAGAGAGCCACCATTTCCCAATACTGATGACTATGCTGTCCATATAGGACTCAAAAACTGCACTAAAATTGCTGAATGCTCAATGCTGGTACTTTGTAGACACCATTTTGGATCAGGTCATCTAGTCCAATTCTCTCATTTTTCAGACGAGGAAACCTGAGGGAGGTTCAATGACTTGCCCAGTTACACAAGTAGTAAGTGTCAGGCTGGAATTAAGCTCAGGCTCTGGCTCTTGACACTATTCTATACTGCTTTTTAAGTTCAGTGTCCCTTAAGTACATTCCATGTTCTTGAAAGAAGAGAAAAACTGATTAACTAAAACTAAAAGGATTAAACACAGCATTCTGAATAAAATCCTATAAACTTGTCATAGATCTAAGTACCTGGCATTAGCAATTATCTACTCCAATCCACTTATTTTGTAGGTGAAGAAAATGAGACCCCTAAGAAAGGAAGTAATCTGGTCACAATCACCCAGAAATAGCCAACGGCAGATTTCGAACTAAATATGCACTTTCTATGCTTCCTATGATCCTGGAGTTTTTTGGGAATGAAGCAAGAAAGACATTTTTCTCTGACTCCTGTTAATCAAAATCCCCAGGAAAACATGAACAATGTACAGCCTGGACTATAAGACTATAACATTCAGAAGTGGAAAAGTCATAACTTTTCCATTACAATAACAGCTATTTGAAAAAGCATACTCGCTACCTCCACTCATCTCCTCTAACTCACTTCTCAACCCTTTACACTCTGACTTCTGACCTCATCACTTAACTGAAATTACTTTGTTTAAGTTACCCAATATTTCTTAACTGCCAAACTAATAGACCTTTTTTCAATCGTCATAGGAGTTTCCCATCCTTCTCCTGGGCACCACTCAGCTGAGAACCTTGTCTGTTACTTGTTGGCTCCCTCATCTCCTGTGCTCTTCATCTCAAAATCCCTTGACCTCGTCTCCTTCAGTTTCTGACAAAGAGGGAACCCTTCTTGCCAAGGCTAACCCCTTTACACGTATATTTAAATTCACCTCCTCCCCTCCTCTCCAGCAGACTGTATCCTCCATCGCCCCTCCCATTCTCAAATCTTCATCATTTCTCTATCTACTGGTTCCTTCCCAACGGTCAACACACCCAAGCTTCCTCACCCTAAAAAAAATATCCTCATTAGGTCCTACCATTTCCTTCAAGCTACAATTCTACGTATCTTCTCACTTTCTCATACAAACTCCTTGAAGAAGCTGTCTCACAGTTTCTACTTCCTCTTCTCTCCCTCATTCCTTAACCCTTTACAGTCAGGCTTCTGAACAACTTGTTATTACTTAACCGGCACTGCCCTCTCCAAAGTCACTGTTCTCTGTCTCCTTTGCTGGCTAATCATCCAAACCATGCTTTCTACCTCCGGATGTTAACAAAGATTCTGACCTGTGTTCTTCCCTTTTCTCCCTCTGAACTGTCTACTCTATCTCAAGGTAACCTCATCAGCTCCCACAGGTTTTACTATTCTCTATGGAGAGTCTCAAATCTATGTGTCCAGCTCCAAATTCTCACCTAAATTTCAGCCCCACATCATCAGCTGCCCATTGGACATTTCAAACTGGATGTCCCATAGACATCTTAAACTTAACATGTCCAAAACTGAACTCTTTCCTATTAAAGCCTCCCCTCTCCCAAACTCCCCTATTTCTGGTGAAGGTACCACGACCCTTCCAAGATCCTAGGTTCACTACCCTGGCATTATCCTCAACACCTCACTCTCCCTCTCTCATCCTACATGCCCAATCAGTTAACAAATCTTTGTTTTGTTTTGTTTTGGCTAGGCAATGGGGTTAAGTGACTTGCCCAGGGTCACACAGCTAGTAAGTGTTATATGTCTGAGGCCAGATTTGAACTCAGGTCCTTCTGAATTCAGGGCCGGTGCTCTATTCACTGCGCCACCTAGCTGCCCCAACAAATCTTGCTTCAGGTCATCTCCCATCTGACTCCTCCACTCATCCAGCTACCACCTCAGTTCAGTCTCTCATTACATTTTAGATTATTGTTAACAGCATGCTAACTGATCTTCCTATCTCAAGTCTCTCATTACTCTACTTCATCCCACACTACTGACCAAGTAATTTTCCTTAAGTACAGTTCCATCACTACCACTCCTCTACTCAATTCCAGTGGCTTCCTTATACCTTTAAAATACAACAGAAATTCCTCTGTTTACCTTTTAGAGCCTTATAGAACCTGGCCCCAACCTGTCTTTCCAGTCTTGGAAAGTCTATACATGACTCCCCTTTCTATACCAGCCAAACTAGCCTCTCTCTATTTCTCACCCAGGATACTCCATCTCCCATCTCCAGAATGCATTCCCTCCTTACCTTTGCTTCAGTCACTCTCTTCCTTTGAGATACACTTCAAGCACAATCTTCTTCATGAAGCCTTTCCTGAGTCTCCTCCCCAACCCCCACCCTTCCCAGCTGCTAATGCCTGACCTCCCTCCCAAACTACCCTGCATATATTTAATACTTCTTATTTATGCTACACATACACATATGCACTTGAATTACCCATTAGAATTTAAGCTCTTTGCAAACTGGGGTCTTTGTACTTGTATCTGTAGTGTTGGGCATATCATAGATGCTTAATAAATCCCTGCTGATTAACTGGTGGATATTCTTGACCCTCCTCAAAGATTTGACACTGCTATCAATCCTCCCCTCTAGAAGACCCTCTGTTGAAACTTTGCTCTCTACTGGTTTTTCTCCTTCGCTGGACCATCTTCAATATACAACACACCTTAAGTGTGGCTGTATCCCATGGCACTATCCTAGCTCCTCAATTCTCTTCTCTCTCTCTGTTCTCTCTCAATGATCTTACAAGCTCCTCTGGGCTTAATCATCATCATCTTTACACAGATGACTCCCAACTTTCTATCTAGCTAGCCTTAGTCTCTACCCCCCAAGCTCCAACCCCACCAGCTCTCTTCAGAACCTTCCTATTTTAGTCAAGAGCACCACCACTTTTCCAGCCACTTAGGTTAACAATCTTGATGCCTCTACAGCCTGCTCATTCACCCCACATATCCAATCATTTACCAAATCTTCTCATTCCTACCAAGATAAAATCTCTTCCATATACTGCCCTCTCTCCTTTCACAGCCACCATCTTAGTTTAGAGCCTCACCACTTCCTGCCTTGACTATTCCAATAACTACCAACTAACTAACCTTCCTGTCTCAAGTTTCCCCACTCCAATCCATCTTCCACACAGCTGCCAAAATGATTTCCCTAAAGTTCAAGTTTGATTATGCCACTCTCCTATTTAATGAACTCTAGTGGCTTCCTATAATATCTAGGATTGAATGTTTGGCATTTAAAGGTCATTATCAGGAGGCCCAAGCTACTGTTTCCATTACACATTATTCCCTTTCACTTACAATGGAGTCCAGTCAAACTGGCATTCTGGCTGTTCCTCATCTCCATGTCTTCGCCAGGCCTTTGCACAGGTTGTTTCCCATGACTGGACATGCTTCCTCCTGCCCTCCTCTTCATGGAACCAGTAATTTCCTTCAGAACTCCCAAATATCATCTTCCCTGGTCACCTCCCCATCAGCTGCTAGGGTCTTCCTCCACATACACCCTCCCCCTCAAATTTCCCTTGTATCTTCCTTATGCGTATTCTATATATACATGTATAGGCTGGCTATTAACTCCCCCATCAGAACATAAGCTTCAGAAGAGCAAAGACTGTTTTACTTTTCTCCCCGTATTATTTCCTTCCCTATAAAAGGCACTAATAAAGGCTTGTTGACAGCTCACAATACTGTGGAGCAGTTTATAAAGTACTTTTCTCATCTCAACTCAAAGACAAGCAAATGTAATTTATTATTATCTCCTTTTATAGATAAGGAAACAAGATTCAGACAAGTAAAATTAATCATCCCAGTTCACAAAGATAATAAGTGATAGAATCAGGACTTGAACCCAGATCTTAGAACTCCAAGACCAATATTTGTTCTACTATACTTTTGCTCTCTCAGTGTTAATGGTATTTAGAACTAGAAGGGACCTTTAGGGTTATCTAGTCTTATTTCACTAATGAGAAGATTAGAGGCACAGGGAGGACTTACCAAAGGTCACACAGGTGAAAAGTAAAATGGCAAAGCAAGAACCAGACCCCAGGTCCTCTCTTCTCCTTTATGTGCATGTGTGTGTAAAGTGTGACCACAAAGCAAAGAGAAGTAGATAGGCTAACAGGAAGGGGAATGAGATGAGGACTGAGGAGGAAGTGTTACTCTCGCCTCTTAGCAGAGGTGGTAGGATGAATATAGGCACAGAATGAAGCACAGACCTGCAGATACGTATTTCTAAGTTGTGTTTGCCCATATTTATTACAAATGAAGGTTCTGTTGGGATACAAGGGAACCACTGGAAATTAACAGCACATGATCTTGGAAAGGAGAAGAACTACATCTTCCTCAGAGAATGAACTAAAGAAGGAAAGAATAGGAATGATGTAACATTTTAACAAGTGGAGTAGGAAAGAAGACACTCATATTCCAATGATTTTTGCACAAAGTCAGCTAAAGGAGGGGGAGGGGGAAAAAGTGATGCAAAGAATTACAGTAAAAAATACACTGACTCCAGCTGGGGTCAGAGGACCTGGGTTTAAATCTCACCCCTGACACTAACCACTCCACATCCTTATACTTCAATTGCCTTGTCTGTAAAGTGAGGAAGTTGAATAGACTAGCTGGTTCCTGAGGTTCCTTCTAGCTCCATCTCTATTATGCTATCCTTAACACTCTTCTGGAATTTACATTTTTATTTGGGGCTAGGAAGAGGTGGCAGAAGAATGGACAAATTGGTTTCTAGTTCACAAAATACTATTTACTACAGGACAAAGTACACTGGGGAAAGAGTATTGAGACAGTGGGAAAAAGAAACTCATTGTACAGTCCGAATTTATGGAATGCCTCTGCAATGATTTAAATTCTTTCCCTTATCCCAAAGGATCCTGATACCAGCCTGGACGTCAAGTTTGCTCCTCAGAGCTCTACCATGGCTACCTGTTTACCTGACAGGTCAAGTTCAAAATTCTGCCTTTAAGGCTCATCACAATGAGGCACCAGCCTTCCTTTCCTTCTCTCCATATGTTTGCCCTCTACTCAGCCACAAAATACTCTCTTCCTCTCCCACAACTCCTCACCTCTGCATCCTGAAATATGATCCTCAGTCAGGAACAATGTCCCCGCCTCAGACTTCACAAAGGATTTGGTTTTTAGTCTAATTAACTCATTATATATGTTACCCCTGTTTGGGTCTTATCTCCCCTCCTAGAATATAAGTTCTTTTTTTTTTCTTTTCCCAAATGTAAGTTCCCAAATGTCTTTCTAAACTGTGTATGTCTCCCAGTATCTAGCACAGTGCTTTGAACACAGAAGAAATTTGACATTCATTAAATAAATGAATGGCCTTTAAAAGAAAACAGAAATAAAACAGTCTAAGACAGGCCTACACAACCTACAGCTCACAGGTTGTGAGCTGCTGGTAAAGAAAAAGAAAGTACTCATATGGGCTATTAGCTAACCTTAGCAAGTCCTGCTCTGTGAGCTCCTTGAGATTCAATGTAGGCCACATATTTCCCAAAGTCCTGAAACTCCTCAATAGTAGGGCGGAATGTCATGATCTTACAGCTAGGGTTTTGTGGACTTGGATTCTCGGACCCCATGATTCCAAATGGCTCAGTACCAAACCTATGAGAAAAAAAACACATGAATTAATAAGGAAAACATCACCTTAATGTAGATTTCATCGTTGAATCTTTAATAAAAAAAAAAACCTTCCTAAAATTAACACAAGACTAACAGAGAATAAGAATCAGTCACGCTTGTATAATGACAGAAAACACTAATTCATTTTTCTTAAAGAAAAAAGATACAAGACACTAAGATGACTTGATAAGAATTAAAAATAGAAAAGCCTCCTACTTTGAACAGAAATATGGTATAGGAAAGAACAAGAGTTTTTAAGTAGATTTTGACAGTTAAAGGCATCCTCAGAAATAAGGTTTTCATAGCACACACTCACACTCAAGTTATTATCTTGAAATCAATAGCCTTCAGCCACTTCTTAATTGGATTTTGGCAGGAGATAGTATCAGGAGCCACGGTAGAGAGGCAGATGGTCTTTTGTGTATGTCTTAATTTCTTCCTACAAATTATCCACCATAATCCATTCAGGGCACACAGGATTCTGCCAGTTCTCACAATTGTTTTCTACTTAATGGTTTGTTTATTTAACTAGTGGCTGCAGTTCTAGGGACTAATAGCACTTCAAAAGAGCATTTGGAAAACTAATTAACCTAGGACCTAGTCATAAACACTGGTGATTTGGTCAGGCTCAGAATATCTCCTAATACAGTAATGGTCAACTATAAACAAGTCAGTGGATTTGAAAATGGAAGTGTCAATAGGGATATAATCTACTTCACATCAATTGTTGTAACCTCAAATCTAAAATGGCAGAAAGAGTCTTGGAGTCAGAAGGCCTGGCTGGGTTTTATTCCTGACTTTCCCAGGGTTGACTAAGTCATCTCAGGCATGTCATTTTACCTCTGAATCTGTTTCTCAAATGTAAAAGTGGTTTCCCCTACTCCAACCCCTTCCTTACACAACTGCCAAAGTGATTTTCCTCCCCTACCTAATGAACTCCCTCAGCTCCACTTTACTTCTCTGATTAAACAGAAGCTGATCGATTCTGCTTTTAAACCCTGGACAACCTGTTGTGAGCTTAACTTTCCAGCCTCCTCATGCATACATACTCCCTTTCCAGTTCCAGTCTAGCCAAACTAGCTACTACTTGCTGTTCTTCTCTTTGCAATGTTGCTGTTCCAACATTTTAGGCCTGAGATGCTTTCCTCTCTTCAAAGAATCCCTGATTTCCTTTAAGACTTGGCTCAAGTCTCACTTTCTGTAGGAAGCCTTTTCCTGATTCCCCTCCTTCCCCCACTAATACTGCCCTACCCTTTAACTACCTTGTATTATTCTGTACATATTCTGCATATACTTATATGCATGCCATTTCCTCAAAACAGAATACATAAGTTTCTAGAGAGTAGACACTGCTGGATCATAGCAGGGGTTTAATAAATACTAGAGATACCATCAGCCCTGCCCACATCACAGGGCAGTCATGAAGATTAAATGAAATAATGCGTCCAAAAGTACCTTGGCAACACTAAAATTTTTTACAAACATGAGGAACTAAATTATTATTATTGGCATCAAAGAAGTAGGTCTACATTTAGAAACATACAACTGAATTCCTCTATCTTGGAAGAATGAAGAGCTTATGTAAACACATAAATAAATGCTAGAAAAAGGTTTATGGCTATCCAATTTTTTGTTAAATCCAAACTTTTACAGGCCAGGTATTTTAGCACTAAAATAAAAATGAAATGAAAACCACCAATGAAATTGACAAAAATAGATGTTTTTAAAGAAAGGAAACAAAATCAACTATTATGAGATTAAAACCTTAACTATCATTTAAGCTGTATTTTAGTTGCACTGGAAAATTACTCTTTATTCAAAGCAAGACTGTTCTCTATGAAAAAAGAGGGAAAAATTCAACCCAAGCTTTATGCAAAGCAAAGGCTCCCAGCCCCCTCCCCCAAGCATTCTCCCTCTGAAGTCACTAGAGGGCATCACTGTTCCTTCTAGGAATACTGTTGACTTTAAAAAGACAAAACAGAAACAGAAAAGATGTTTACTCAAAGCGCTTTTTGGACAGAAGCTTTGGGAGATGGTTATGGCAGAGTAATTTTATGTACATTTCTAGACACTCATTTCCAAAGTAATGGCTTTCACCACAGAAAGCCTCAGAGCAGAATGGAGGGGTGTTTGGTCTAGCTAATTCTGGAGAAATGATGTGCAGATTTGCCCCTCCACTTCAATTAACATTTTTTAAAGCATCTTCAATGTGCTATGTACAGTGCTAGAGGCTGGGACTATGATGAAAAATGTCAGCCTCCAACTGCAAGTATCTTAATGTCTAAATGTGTTGACAAATAATGAGGTTTTAAAGTTTGTAAAGGTTTTTCCTCACAATAACCCCAGTAAGTTAGTGAATAAATATTTCATAGATGGGAAAACAGACTCAAAACCGTGAAGTAACTTGCCCAAAGTGACACAGTGAAATGACAATGCAGACACTAGAACCCAGATCGCCCAACTTCTGGTATGGCAACAACCTTCATAATACAGGGGGGAAGGGAATACAAATTTCTATAGTGCCTGCTCCAGGTACTGTGCTAAGGGCCTTTTACAAATACGATTTCATTTGTAGGTGCTGTGATTACCCTCATTTTTTTTAAAGAGTTGACTAAACTGAAGCTCTGTGTAAGTGACTTACCCAGGTCACACAACTAGTAAGTATCTGAGGCTAGTTTTGAATTAGTCTTCCTGACTCCAGACCCAAGGCTCTATCAATGGCTCCACCAGTCACATCAAAAAATACACACACACACACACACACACACACACACATTTATATATATACATACATACACAAATTACATATATTCACACTGTGAATATATGTAATTTACAATTATAATTTACATAAATATCAATCAACAAGTATTTATTAAGGACTTACTATGTGACAAAAACTGCTAGGTGCTGGGCATACAAGAATAAAAAATGAAAACAAGAATTGTACAGTCTTAGGATGGGCGTCAGGGTAGAAAGACAGTATGTACACAAGTAGGTATGTACAAAATAGTGAGAAAGCAAATTTGAAGAATGGCAGACCACTAACAGCTGGAAACAATCTTTTACTTCTTTTGAGGTTTAAATTTTTCTCCTCCTCCCTCCCCACCTCCCTCCCCAAGAGGGCACGCAATCTGATATGTAGGCTATACATATACATTCCTATTAAATATATTTTCACATTAGTGATGTTGTAAGAATTAGAACCAATAGGAGGAACCACAAGAAAGAGGAAACAAAACACAACAGAAGAAAAAAAAATAGCAAATAGTACGTGTATGCTTCAATCTGCATTCAAATTCCATAGTTCTTTCTTCTTTGTGGATAGCATTTTCCACCATGAGGCCTCTGGAGATGTCTTAGATCCTTGTATTGCTGAGAAGGGTAAAGTTCATCAATATTAGTCATCGTGCAATGTGGCTGTTGCTGTGTACAACGTTCTCCTGCTTCTGCTCACTTCACTCTGCATCAGACATACAAGTCTTTCCAGGTTTTTCTGAAGTCAGCCTCTTCATCATTTCTTATAGCACAACAGTATTCCATTACATTCATATACCACAACTTGTTCAACCATTCCCCAGCTGATGGGCATCCTCTCAATTTCCAATTCTTTGCCACCACAAAAAGAGCTGCTATTAATATTTTTGTACATGGAGACAATATTTTATAAGGAAGAAATGTGACAAGTGTAAAGGTCAGATTGTTAAAGTGCTCCTGTGAAACTGAAGGCCTTAAAAAAAAAACATTGAAGATCTAAGTGGCTTAGTGGACTACAAGCTCAATATAGTCAACACTATGATTAAAAAAAATAATGTGAGCTTAGGTCCGCAATGACTGACACTGAGCACCTCAGAGGCAGCAGTGGATCTTTAGGGGCTTTGAGTTAGAGCTCAAACCTCAGTGTTAGCACAGAAGCCTCCAGCCCAATCTCAGTCCTCATGTACTGGCAGGCAATGTTATGGACCGACTGTGGATGTGTTCTGAGGTCCCACACAAGCTTAGCACTCCTCTGGTAACAAGTGGATCACCACTGAGAAACTCAATGCCAAGGGGCAAAGCATGCCCAGCTAAGTGTGTCAACTTTTTTTTAAACCTCTTTTTGGTTTTATATCTTCTTCATTAGCAACTGACTACATTTCTTCCCTTCCCCTGGCCAAACCAACCAACAAAGGCTGCACATGACAGTGTATGTGGTATTTCACATCTACAGTCTCCCCACTGGCAAAGGAGGGAGGGAGGGAGGGATGTTTTCTCAGCTCTTCTTCAAGGACCAAGCCACTTGGTCCTTCTAATTACACAGCCTTCACCTTTGTGTTTATTTGGGCTCTTCTGTTCTTTTCACATACCAAGCTATAGTCATTGTGCATGCTGTTTTTCTATTTTCCTTATTTTGTTCCCAGCAAGTAAACTTGTACAGAAAGAAACAGCTCACTAGAAGCTCTTTAGAAGCCACGAATTGCTTATGGTATTCTCTGGAAGGCTAAGTAAGCTCTGGTTCCCAACACGGGGAAAGGTCTGAAGTTATGAAACCCCAATATGATTAACATTAGTGGTGTCAAAGTCAAACAGAAACAGAAGAGAGGGAGCAGGTGACACAATCCTGCACACAGGGTCCCTGCAGACCACATATTGACTGCTACAGTTTTGAAATGTAACGTTATCTATGTTTTATTCTATTTGTATTTATTTTGTCAAATACACATTTTGTCAAATTATATTTTAATCTGATATTGAGTTGCCCTGGAGAGTGCTGGCCAAGAGTCTAATACCTCTGATTCACATAGTTCCTCATTTCTACAGGACTTCCAAGATTTTTTCTTAATCATCCTGTGAGCTGGGTAAACAGGTATTATTAGTCCCATTTTAGAGATAAGGACCCTGAAGCCCACAGAGCATAACTGACTTGCCCAAAGTCACAAAGCATTTGATAGAGCTCAACCTTCAACCTGGATCAAAGCTTAGTACTCTTTTCACTACAATGT